GAGTATTTAATACACCTTGCCCTAAAACTTGCAGAGAATTAATCCCAAACACTCAAGATCTGTGATAATTCTAGATGTGCTCATTGCTAAGGCTCCACAGACTCATCCTGCTCTTTCTCTCAAATGTGATTCAGAATCCAGCAAGGAGTATTGTCACCTGTGAAGTTTGCATTCCTGAGCACATCATGTGCAGTTGTGTGACAGGAACCTTCTAGGGAATTTCTTCTGCTCCCTCAGAGCATAAATATGGAGCTGCAGGTTTCTGTGGGAGCTCCTTTGGATTAGGAGCCTCCAAGGGCTCAGGCAGTAGCCTGGAGGTCAAGATGTTCCATGCCAGGGTGGGATGCTGAGGCTTGAGTCTCTGCTCAGCCTGATTCTAGACTGGAGAACTTGGACTCCGAGTTCTTATCTTCCAGAAGAGTGAATAAATTACCAAGTCATTTAAGAGACAGAAGGGTCCCCATTTTGACTTGAAAACTGTCCAGACAAGAGCTATTCTGCCCTGTTTCTGACTTGTAGGAAGCAGATCTTCAGAACTGCTCCACTTCTCCCTGGGGTTAAGTTTGGGGGTTTTTTAGGTAAAATATTTTCTTTCAATTGCACTGTGTCCCAATCTTAGGAATCTTGGAAGGTGTTTGGGTTGTGTCACACCAGAATGAAAGTGTGTGTATTTCTGAGCAGTGTTTTTCTTGTTCAGGCTCGTGATCTTTTATTCTACCAACCCAACCATGCTCAGAGTGTTCTGCACTTTGTCTCTCTGTTTGTTTGTTTGCTGCTAAAGGAGGAAATAAAGCTTTCTTTGTTAAGCTTCCCCTTTCATTTACTGGGAAGGGTGACACTTTTCAGCCCAATTTGGAGCTCTGCTTCTAGGCTGGAAATAGCTGTCTGACAAAATCTAATCTAGATTGTCCCTGTGACATTATTAGGTCACTAAATCCTAACATGGAGATAAAACTTCAGAGGAGGTATGTCTCCATCCTCCATAAATTGAATTATGGTGGCAGATACTTCAGATCAGTAGGTTTATCATCTTTAAATGAGCCAAGAGGAAAACCATCATCATTCAGTGAGACATTCAAGTTTTTTTACATATGGAAGGCACTTCTATAAAACTTTTTCTACAGAAGTGTTACTGTTAAAGCAGAGCACTGTGGACACCTCTGTTCCTTCAGAGTAGCACACAGGAATTACCAGTAAAATGGGGATTACAGAAATGAACCCCCAACACCAGCTCATGACTTCAGGAGCTTAGAGGTGGATCAGGGCTTTCCACCAGCAGTTTTGTGTTGGTGTGGCAGCATGTGTTGGAGTCCATGATCTCAGAAATTTCCTTCTTTAATGCTCCTGAACATTAAATTGTAGGTTTTGCAGGTCTAAAATCCTGGAGGAGGAGGAGTTTGAGGTTGTGCTGGTGTTTCCCTCGTGTCCCTTCTTGCAGAACAACTGGGTGCTGCAAATGGGTCAGGATTGCATGGCCTTTTAGATAATCCATGTGCTAAATTTCAGAAAAAAGGACATTATTCAGACACCATCATGGTATTCTCCATCTATGCACTTGCTACTCTTGAGTCCTGCTGTCCTTAGTAGGAACATCTTAAATTAGCATTTTGTAAAGGAATAACTTAATGAGCCAGGGCTGAGCACCAGGCAGTGGGTACTCAGCACCAGAAGACACTGCTGTTCAAACACACTCTTCTCTCCAGGTAGGTGCATCCAGCCTGTGGTCACACAAGATTTTTACAGGTTTTTTGAATTTTTTTCCCCTTCCTCATTTTGGTCTTGCTGGTAGTTAGGCTGTTAACTAGTCTGTTGTAGACACTGAAGTTGGGATGATAACTGGTCAGCTGCTACTCACCAAGCAGTCTGTAAGGCAAGGGCACCTGGCTGTGTTTTGGCAGAGCTCCTCAGATCTGTGAGAGCTGTGTGGATGCCAGACAGACAGAAAATAACAGGTTAGAGGCTTGAAGAGCTCAGTCTAGTCAGCCAGAAAAAACAAGCAAAATGAGCAGCAGCAGGAAGCACATGGTTGGGCATTGGAGCTACAGGGTTTTCATGCCTGGTGGGTTGACACTCTGAAGGTGCCTGTGGTCAAGGTCAGGTTTTTGTGGGTGTCTTGCAGGCTTGTGTTGGGTTCCAGATAGGAAGGTGTAGCAGAGCAGGTCCAGACCCACACATCCACAGCAGGGAGAATGCCAAGGGTCCCAATGGCTCCTGTTAGATCCTTGTAGATCCTATGACTTAGATCCTATGACAGTTTCCCAGATGGCTTGTACTCCTCTGTTCTGACCTCTGAGGAGAGGACAACTTCTTTGATCAGACACTGCATGGAGATTTTTGATGGTCAGTTCAGAGCTGGAGGCTGCAGTGGTGTAAGGGACCTGCCTCTGCTCTCCATAGAGGTCATAGACTCACAAAATCATTAAGGTTAGAAGAGAACTCCCCAGATCAACAAGTCTGATCACCATGCCCACTGATCTGTGTCCCATAGTGTCATGTCTACATGTTTCTTGAACACCTCCAGGGATGATGACTCCACCACTGCCCTGGGCAGCCTGTCCAGGGCTCTCCTCCTGAGCACTCCTGCTCAGCACACTTCACTTTTTCCATGACTCCAGTATGGGGGCCAGCCTTGGCAGGCAGACTCATGTGATTCTCCTGAAGACTTAGGGCATGTTGTAAGTCTGAAGCTCCACCTCCTGGAGAGGTCCAGAAAGTTGTTACTGGCCAAAGAGCCCAACAGGTGATTTTATGGAGAGCCCTGCACATCTTACAGTGTCCATCAGCAGTACCTGAAGCCACTGGGGAGAAGGAGCTCAGCCAGTGCTGTTGTCTTGTTCAGCATTAGCACTGAAGGTGCAGCTCCAGCTCTGGTTTTTCAGAGCATCCTGGGAAGAGTGCTTCTTGGGAAACTGGGAGTTGAGCAGGCTGTCCTATGACCTCAGGGTCAGCAGGTGAGTTCAGGCAGCCTCAGCTCTGCTGCAGTTGTTTGGATGGATGCAGAAGAACATCAGAGCTTTCAGCTGGTAGTACATGTTCTTTTCATGCTGTATCTCTAACCAGCAACCAGCCTGGTGCTCAAACGTGGTTCCTACCTTGTTTTGCACCTCCCTGGGCAGCTGCAGTGGGGCTCCTGAGCAGCTGCAGTACAGCTGTTTTGCACTGAGAAGGCAAAGAAGGCGTTGGGGTTTAACTTGGAACATCTCACTGATCCACACTTGAGTACAAACCCACGAGTATCAGTATCATTAGTGGGATGTGGTTTAGAATTGTAGAATCACAAGCTGGTGTGAGTTGGAATCTTAAAGATCATCTAGTTCTAACCCCCCTGCATGGGCAGGGACACCTCCCAGCAGCCCAGGCTGCTCCAAGCCCCATCCAACCTGCCCTTCAACACTGCCAGGGATGGGGCAGTGGTGGACTTGGCAGTGCTAAGTTAATGGTTGGACTTGATGATCTCAAAAGTCTTTTCCAACCAAAAAGATTTAGCAATTAAAGCTGAGAAAGAAACAAGAGGATGAAGGATGAGGTCTCAGACAGCACTGTCCAAGAACATCTACCATAGCTCTGTGCCTTTTGGCTAATTTCTTTGATTTAAGCTTCACTGTGCAGCTCTGACTCAAACTTTGTGCTTTGAATGTATTTCTGAGGGCTTGAATACAATTTCAGTATGGTTTTGGGATAAATGTGTTGGGTGCAACAGCATGCAGAGCCATACAGGACTGGAGAGCCAGGCAGTCACATAAGAAGGTCATGGAGCTCCTGGAGAGAGGCCAGAGGAGGCCCCGGAGGTGCTGGGAGGGCTGGAGCAGCTCTGGAGCCAGGCTGGGAGAGTTGGGGTGTTCAGCCTGGAGAAGAGAAGGCTCCAGGGAGACCTGAGAGCACCTTCCAGTGCCTGAAGGGGCTCCAGGAAAGCTGGGGAGGGGCTTGGGACAAGGGCAGGGAGGGATGGGAGCAGGGGGAAGGGTTTCCAGCTGGCAGAGGGAGCTGGAGCTGAGATGGGAGGGAGAAATTCTGGGCTGTGAGGGTGGGGAGAGCCTGGCCCAGGTTGCCCAGGGAAGCTGTGGCTGCCCCATCCCTGGCAGTGTTGAAGGGCAGGTTGGATGGGGCTTGTGCAGCCTGGGCTGCTGGGAGGTGTCCCTTCCCATGGCAGGGGGCTGGATCCAATTGATTTATAAGTTCCCTTCCAACCCAAACCATTCTATGGTTCTATGATTCAGGCAGAGCAGCAGGTCCACAGGGTATGAATGAGGTTTCCCATCAAACCAGTGCAGAGGATCACTGCTCTCTGCCATGAACTGGTGGGGTTTGGGGCCAGAAACAACAGAGATCCTTTGTGTTTGAGAACAGGGTCAGTGCTTTGATATTCTGCTGCTGCTGAATGTTACTCTGGTGTTGAATAATGAGCTTGAAATCTCCTTTGGAAAATCCTGGTATTTGCACGACCTGCAAAATGGAATTGGAATCTTGGGTTGACCTGGAGCATGGGATGGTGCCTCTGGATGGACCTTTCCTGAAAAGCAGCTCAGGGGATCTGGTGCTGAGAAGGAACTCCCAGTCTGGCAGCACCTTAATTAAGGTTCATCACCCAACTGATGATCAGCTACAGAACCAAATTGGCTGTTTTGGGAAAAACATTTTAAAATACTGTGACTTACTGAGCGTTGTTGCTGTATGAGCTGAATGTTGCAGAACTGGGCCTTGGCCTGTCCTTTGGCTAAAACTGATGCAGCTGGGGATTGTTCTACATGGGCAAACTGGTTGTTTCAGCAGAGCCCAGATAATATTTTGTCCTGCAAAACCAGTTATACTGAAAATTGCAAATAAACCTGATTTTTAAACTAAAATTATTTTTTAGTCTTCCCAGGAGTTTAGTGCTGTAGTTTTTTTCAAACCACTGTCTGTGGAGAACAGAAAATATCATCTAACCTTGAAATAAATGTTGAGGTTGCTAAATTGATATTTTGGTAATTCTAAAATACTTTATTAATTTGTTTTCTCAGATGGAGCTGAAGAAGAAAAAATGGAAACAGAGACAGATGGGCAGCAGTCTGAGAAGGTGAGATTGGTTCTGAAAAGGGAGTTCTGACACCGAGGAACTTGAATGATGATGTTCTACAAAGCTGTGTGAGAAGGGTGGCCAGCAGCCTGCTGGTCAGTGTGTGTGTCCACAGGGAACAGCCTCTAGCTGAACAGGTCCATAAAGCTCCTCTTTGGTACAAGTCTGGCCTAACTTTGGGTTACAGGTGTGTGGCTTTGATGTTAGGGCTGATGCATCCTGCCCATGAAGATCAGATCTTTAGAAATTAATTCCTTGAACCTGCAAGGCCCATGGAGGACAGGGAGGTGATTCAGGAAAGCCAACATGGCTTTACTAAGGGAAAGTCCTGCCTGACCAGCCTAGTGGCTTTCTACAGTGGAGTGACTGCATCAGTGGACAAGGAAGAGCAGGGGATGTCATCTCTCTGGACTGCTGCAAGGCCTTTGACATGGTCTTCCACAACATCCTTCACTCTAAATTAGAGAGATATGGCTTTGATGGGTGGACTGTTCAGTGAACAAGGGATTGGCTAGATGGTCACATCCAGAGGGTAGTGGTCGATGGCTTGATGTCCAGATGGAGAGTGATGACAAGTGGTGTCCCTGAGGGGTCTGTTCTGGGACCAGAGCTGTTTAACATCTACATCAACGATATAGACAGTGGCACTGAGAGCACCCTCAGCAAGTTTGCAGGTGACACCAAGCTGGGTGGTGTGGTCAGTGTGCCAGAGGGATGAGATGCCATCCAGAAGGACCTGGACAAGCTAGAGAAGTGGGCCCAGGTGAACCTCATGAGGTCCAACAAGGCCAAGTGCAAGGTCCTGCACCTGGGCCAGAGCAATCCTTGTTACAATTATAGGGTATGGAATGGTGTGATAGAGCAGCCCTGCAGAGAGAGGGACTTGAGGGCAGTGGTGGACAAAAATTGGATGAGGACTCCCCCCCCCTTCCCTGGGCAGCTTGGGCCAGGGCCTGGCAACCCTTTCCAGGAAGGAATTGTTCCCAAGATCCAAGATAACTTCATGGATGTTAAGTTCAGGCACCTAGATCTTAATAAGAAACATTTTTATTATGCTTCATTTTGTTCCTCTCTTCCACCCATTCCTGCCCAGCAAGCACCCTCCTGTCACATGGAGCTTAGCTGGAGCATTTATTGCCCCAGGATGCTGATGTGACCATGAGTTCTGCAGGATTTGGAGCTGTGTGGGTAGGTGTAAGATCCTGGAAAGTGTATGAAACTTAGGCAGAAATGACTGGAATAAATGAGGGCAGCACAGCAGGGCAGATCATGTTCTTACCTGTCACCTCAGCTGAACCCAAGTTGGTTGTGTTTCCCAATCCCACAGACTTCTGTCCAGTGTAGTAGTTGTTCAGGCCTCAGGGTTGTCAAGATGGGCTTTAGTAGCAAAGTCAACCTTTACAATTTAATCTCTTTTTATGAGAGTGAATGGATTTGGAAGCTATAAACCCAGTTAACAGTGAATGTCTTTCACAGCTCTCATTCTTCAAACTATCTTTCATCCCATTTAGGTTGAGAGCAAAGCAGAGAGTGAAATTGAAGAAGGTGATAAAGTACAAGAAGGAGAAAATGAGAGAAATCCAGAAAAAGAGCAAGACAGTGAAGTGGCAGCAGACCCCAAACCAGGTAATGGTTCCCAGCTGTTCCTCAAGCTGTGTTAGCTTTAATAGCCTTCTATAAAGTGCTTGGAATAGACTATAAACTCAACTGTGGCAGAAATGTTGCCTTCTGCACATCAGGCAGCTTCATGGTTCAGTAGTAAATATTCTAGTTTAATTTCACTGAAAGCTCAGGCACTAAATTCTTTCCTGAGCTTGTCTTCAACCTCAGCTGAGCTTCTGTCACTGTGTGTAGTGACTGAGGGAAGAAATTGGAACAGCACAGTGTGTGTAGGTCATAGGAGTCATTTTCTTTGGCCTGTTTTGCACTCTTATCATTTTTGATGCAAAGAAATGGGACTGCTCACTTTTACCCCTGGAAGTTAATATGTTGGCTCATTTTCCCTGTGAAGTGATGCAGAGCCTGTGTGTGACAGGCTGGGCAGTCCTGAGGGGCTTTCCTGCAGGAGTCATTCTTGTTATTTATTTTTAACATGTAGCACATGGATATATTGTTCTTTGCCTGGAACTGACATCCAGTGTTTTAGCACCAGGTAGAACAAGAAGCGTTTGGATTTGATGTAATAAAGGAGCTGGTTTGGAAATGCAGCTGAAATTTGTTCTGATGAGAAGTAAGCTGATGGCACAAGGTGAACTGATAGGATGGAAGCTAAAAGCATTTCAACTTGCCCTGGCTGTTGGATCAGGTCCTCTCAGGATCTGCTCCCCTGTCAGCAGTTGGATGAGCAGCAGCACTGCACCATAGGAGCATGGCAGTGTGGGGATGAATTCATTTGACTAATCAAAGTGTTAACAAGGGGAAAATGGACGTAACAGCCTTGGTGGGAAATCTCTTCCAGAAGAAAAGGAGGCAGAAGAGAACAAGGAGAACGTTGATGCAAGCAAAGACAAAGAGAATGAGGCTGGAAAGAAGAAAGTGGAACATGAAATCTCGGAAGGAAACGTCGCTACAGCTGCAGCTGCTGCCCTGGCCTCAGCTGCCACCAAAGCAAAGGTTTGTTTTTTGCACATCTCCCTTGGCTTGGTTTCCAGTTCACATGAGAACTCTCTTAAAATGGCCCTTTGTTCCAGATCTCTGTGGTTTCATGTTCTGGTACCTTGACAGAGCACAAGTGCCATCTTCAGTTTCTTCTGCTTGAACTCCTAAGTGAAACGAGGTGTGATTTTAATGTAGGCAGCTGCAGTTATCATTATGAAGTTGATGAAGTCAGAAACAGCGACAAATTGAGCTGGTCATATTTGGGAAGGCGTTTCCCTGCTCAGTAGGTCTGGCTGTGATGCTGAGGACAGAGATGTGAGGTTGCCTTTCTCCCTGTGCCTCTGGCTGTTCTGAGGACTTCACCCAAGCCAGCTGTGCTGGGAATCTGTACAAACCAGGCAGTGCTCAATTCTAACACTCATTTTTTGATAGGCAACTGCATGATGTTTGTGTTCAGAGGTGTGTGTCTTGGTGAAAATATGTTCTTCTCCTCCTACCATTCAACTTCTGTTTGTCTCTCAATGAGCTGAGGTTTGAATCAGTGTCCTATCTAATAGCTTTTCTTTACCCTGTAATTACTAATTGCATGTTGTCTTGAATTCTCATTTTGCAGGAACCAAACTGCCTTTGCTTCTTGCAGAATATCTATTTCAGAATCTTTCCACATATTTTTTTTATTTTGATTCCAGTTGTAGTTTGGGTTTCTTAACCACTCTTGGATTCAGTGCCAAGTTGCAAGTCACCTAGTTTACAGATACCAAAAGGTCATGGATCCTGTTGATTTCCTGATGGGTTTCCAAGACATAAGACTTGTCTTTTACTGCTAGTAAGTTACTTTCAGTTCATCAGACTTCCAGATATTTTCAGCCAAGTTGAAAAAACCCTGCATATATATATGTATATATATATACATATATATAAAAAAGGAGGCATGAAATTTAATCTCTGTTTTATGGAAGGCTACTTGCTCTAGATAAAGAGGCTCTCCTCCTACTTCCCTTCCCTTGGTGACAGCCAGTGCTGGAGGGAGAAGGGACTTGGCTAGTGGCAGTTTTCATTATGGTAATAATATTGTAGAAGAATTTTAGCTTTATATTACAGGAAATAATGTATTATAATTAGGATAGTCATGCTTCAGAGTGGAATTAAGGTTCAATAGGGATTTCTCTTTCCATTTGCACTTAAACCCAGACAGTATTAAGGCTTGCAGTGAGCTGTGTCTTGTCTGAGAGACTAGCTCAGTTCTTCATAACAAACTCAAGACCTGGCCGTGTGAAGAGCTGTTACAAAGTTGTTATCCTCACAATTTTATGTCAGAGAAATATTGTAGTTGACTTCTGTGGGGAAATGGGTTAAAAAGACTTGAATTTTCCTGTTCTTTTCAGATAGGACAACTTATTGGTGAAGCCACTCATTTGAGAAATGGTACCTAGTGAGTGCCTGTGTGGAGGGGTGGGACTGTATTCCTGCATTTTTAGGGGTTATGGCTCTAGTACAAACCCAATAGAATTATTTCAGTCTCTCTTCCTCATTTTCTTCTCAGATTCCTGTATCAATGTAAGCTAGCTTTTCCTTTCTGGGCATAAGTAGCACCTGATAGAAGATGTCCTCTCTCCTGCAGATGGCTTTTAGCTTTTGCCTGGTTGTGATTGAGCTGCAGAGCTTCTGCTGTAGCTCTTGATCTGTCACTTACATTGGCCAAAAAGGACATTTCTGGTCACAGTTTGACTTCCTGCCAGACACTGATCTCATGACTTCCCTGAATTGCTGGTTTGAGGTGGCAGGGATTGAATACAGCCTTTCTAGGAGACACTGCTGCCAAAACTGCCAGTTATGTAGAACATCCTGTAATTGTCCATAGGGCTTTCCAGTGGTAAACTTTGCTGTTGAGCTTCATTCCTCCTCTAGAGTGCTTCAGCCACCAGCCATTGTACCAGTGGGCACTTCCCTTTGCCTACTGAATTTAAAACCCACTGGCTATCAACCACTTATTTCATGTGTTGTAGGTGTTTAGAGATGGAAACTTCAGGAGTAGAAGGGACCCACTTGCTAAAATCATGTTTCTTTTTTTGGCAGGCAGCTACATCCCATCTTCTGCTTATAGGCAAATCAAAATCTGTCATTTATTGGTTCCTTTCAGCTGCTGCTCCAGCAACTCACTGTAGGACCTTTTTCATCTCCTGCTGGAATGTAAGCATTCCAGGGCTTAGGCTTCCCATTGTGTGCCTTCATTAGTTCTGTGTTATCTGCTTCCTTTGTTTCTTCAGTTTCATTCATGAAAGACAAGTCTTATCCACTCTTGGATAAGATCTTACCCACCTTGGCAAACCACAGCCTGGGGGAGCATCTAGTCTCCCACAAAATAGGAAGAGGGAAGGCAAAAAGAGGAATTGTCTCTGCCTGTTGCAGTTGCCCCTGACCTCTTGGCAGGTGGGTGAGCAGACCTCAGCACAGCATTCCAGTGAGCTGCTGCTTCAGTGCTGTCCATTTTCCAGATGTGTCCTGTGGTTTTGCAGCTGTCTGTACCAGTTGTCACCCCCATGCTCGTGCTGGGATTAGCTAATTGCAGGACTAAAGCTGGGCTTAAGATGGTTAAGGGGGTGGGTTAGGTTCTATGAGACTACCTGTAATTAGAATAAATGTAAAGGAGCTGGGGGTGTCCAGCCTGGAGCAAAGGAGGCTGAGGGGAGACCTGCTGGCTCTGCAGCTGCCTGAGAGGAGGTTGGAGCCAGGGGGGTCGGGCTCTGCTCCCCAGGAACAAGGGATGGGACAAGAGGAACCGGCCTCAAGTTGCACCAGGGGAAGCTGAGGTTGGAGATTAGAAGATACTTCTTCACCAAAAGTTATTAAACACTGGCCCAGGCTGCCCAGGGAGGTGGTGAAATCACCATCCCTGAAGGTGTTTCAAAGTCCTGGAGATGTGGTGCTGAGGGACATGGGTTAGCACTGGGCTGGGGAGAATGGGGTTAGTGATTGGTAGGGTTGGGTTATGGTTGGACTCAATGATCTTAAAGGTATTTTCCAACCAGAATGATTCTGTGATTACTGACCCTGGTAGTGGGTTAGTAACTAGTCCTGTGATTTCTCCCAGGTTTATCAATATTTACCCAGAAATTGAATTTCTGAGCAGCAAAACCAGAGCCAGTGGCAACAGGTGCAGGGACATCCCTGGCTGGGCTCCCCTGTTTAAACAGCAAACCAAGGCATTGCTGGAGCTGCTCCCAGCTCCACCTTCCTTCAGAATTGCTGTGTCCCAGCAGGTCATCACATACCATCTTCTTTTTCACTGCTTTGTGATGTCAGGGGGATGCAGCAACGTGTTTGTCAGGCAATTTAAATCACTATAAATTTTGTCTTACTCGTTTCTCTTCATCAAGCCCAGAATCAGTAAGGACTGGTTGTTTGTCCATGTGAAAGCCCTGGGTAATGCCAGGCTAAGGAACTGCCTCTTTAGGAAAAACCTGAGTGATTTATTCCTTCCTGATGTGTATTTTGAGATCTGTCTTTCACCTCATATTGTGCAGTGGTGATTTTGTTAATCGTTTCATTATTAAAATTGCACACATCAAGCAAGGAGCAGTGACTGTTGGCAGTTCTGTGTGTCAACAAAGGTGCTTCTGTCACTCTGATTTACCTAAAAATCCGTTTCTTTTGCTAGATAGTACTAATTGACACTGTGTTTTCTAGTTCTGTCAGCCATTCAGTTACTTTATTCCACATTGTGCACTAGTTTGGTTGGTGCTCAGCTGTGCAGCCTGTTTGAATTTCAGGGTGACGTGCTGTTAGATGAAGCTGGATGGTTCCAGTTCTCTCAAACCTGACTTAAAATTAAACTTAGTGAGAATCCTAAATGGATGTTACCTAGAATCTTGACTGGATGGTACCTGGTTTTACTGAAGACTTGCTCTATTGCTGTTAGCAGAGGGGAATGCTGCCACATTGCACAAGGTGTTAGTGATGGAAACAACAGCATCTGGTTTTCAGAAATTCTGTTTATAAATTGGATTACCAGGGAGTTTTATAAATCTTCCTTTCTCCAGCTCAGGATTTCTCCCAGTTCCAAGCCAACGTTTGGGGCACAGTTGCTAAATATGAGTCTGTTTGCAGCCTGAGCTGGATGAGATCCAGCTTTTTCCTTTTTTTATCCCTTCTTCCCTTCAGCCCTCACCTTTCCCTTCTCAGAAGCCAACCCTCCTTCCCTCTCAGCCCTGGGTGTGCCAGGGGGACTTGGCTTGGAGACAATGGTTGGGAAAAGATCCTTTGGCTGTTAACACAGCAAGTCCCAAGCAGTGCACGTGATGGCTGTTGTATTTTGAATGTATTTCCATCTTGAACAGCAGACTGAACAAAAGCTGGTAGAAGGCATCATTAACATGCATTTCACACTTGGAGCACGAAACACTTTTATAGGCTGCCTCATCTGTCACATATATGCATATATTTATATCTATCCTGTATCATTTATGTGTAAGTGTCTGTGTAAATGGGGTGAAGCTAAAGCCTTATAAAGAACCTACTTGCCTTTTTCTGCTCTTGGCTTTTGCAGTTTAAATACAGCTTTGCCTTCAGCTTTCTTCCTCAACAGGAATACTGTGCAACCTGGTTATAAAAGGAAACTGGAGATGATTTTATTCACCAGTTTCTTCTCATACCTGTGTAGAGATTTCTCTCCCTAGCCCCAGGTGGAACTGCTGGTGGTTGGGAGGTCTGGTGCTGCAGGTGGTGGGAAGATGCTTAACTAGATACATGGCTTCTCACTGACTTGAGCACAAAAGCAGTTGAATAGCAGAGGCCTGCAGGAGTCACCTTGCTGCTTGGGTGGGTTGTTCCAGGTGAAGCCTCCTGTGTGTTTCATGAAAACTTTCTGGGTGACCCACAGCTGCCTGGGGGCCACGTCCCCCTGCTGCCTCATTGCATTTCCACTGGAAGTGCTCTCTGTTGCACAGCTTCAGGTGGCTTGGAGGCAAAGCTGGGTTGCTGATGAGGGCTGAGCATCCACAGTACCTTGTGTATTAAAACTTGACACCTATTTATGTCATTAAAAAGCTTAATAATTGTCCTAGGGCTCTGTTTCTGAGCTTAAGATGGATAATCCAGTGCTCTGTTTTCTGTCCAGAAGTGGGATAGGATGGCTGAAGCCAGATGCAGGCATGAGCTGTTGCCTTAGAGCACTTCATTTTGTGAAATGTTGGTGAAGCAAAAACCTGTGCTTGTTTTATCCTCAGCACCTGGCAGCAGTGGAAGAAAGAAAGATCAAGTCCCTGGTTGCCCTTCTGGTGGAAACACAGATGAAGAAGCTGGAGATAAAACTTCGCCATTTTGAGGAGCTGGAAACCATTATGGACAGAGAGAAGGAGGCAGTAAGTAGGGGTGAACCAGTGCAATTCATCAGTCACTGCCAAGGTCTGCTTTTGCAAACAGCTGGAAAACTTGCAACTTCAGCTGTTCCTCACCTGATGCAGGTCTCTCTGCCTCAGATTGAATTCATAATGACCCCCTGCAGTTGTTTGAGCTCTCTCCTCTCACCAGATCTTCCCTTTACCATAAGCAGCAAACTGGTAAT